TACAGGTCCTACTATACTAGTCTTCGGTCCAGAATCTAGGCTCCATTAGAACATGAACTGTGTTTGTGATCTTTATAACTGAATCTCCATCTACTAACTTGGTACTTCCCCTCAATAGATATTAATTAAATGAAAGACTTACTTTTGAAGTAGCTATCAGAATGCTAATTTAGCCCTAGCTGTTTTGGCTCAGTGGATAGAACATCAGCCTGGGGACTGAAAAGTCCCAGTTTCGATTCCGGTCAAGGGCATGTACATTGGTTGCGGGCACATCCCTGGTAGGGGGGGGGGGTGCAAGAGGCAGCTGGTCGATGTTTCTCTCTCATCGACGTTTCTATCTCTCTCTTCCTCTCCCTTCCTCTCTGTAAAAAATCAATAAAATATATTAAAAATATGTTTTAAATGCTAACTTAATAATCTGAGTTAATGTTTGAGAACAGCACAGTGATTTTATGCCTTTCTATGATTCCATAATTTAATTCAATCCCTTGTACATGGGTGTTACCTATACATGTTTAAGTGACAATTTTCTTTGAAAAAAACTTGTTTTATTACTTACGAGAAAACTGAGTGAAGTTTTGATGCCTCATCCAATATGTGCATTTTATCAAAAAAATGACTTTTATCCATTTTCCTAATGTATAAGTAAAATTTTTCTTGAGTGATAATTGGGAAAATTCCAGAAAAAGTAATGTAACAATTAAATATAGATGAGGAATAAATTTCCTGATAACTGATGTAGATGCAAAGGAAATATTTTAGGTAAATAGGCCAACATCAGGTCAAGTTTTGACTTGAGGCCAAGGTATTAATCTAAAAGTGCAGAAGATTTTAGTGGGTTGTTAAAACATGTAGGACAGCAAATAATAATCTGATCAAGAGCTCTTAGACTTGTGAGAGCCTCTTGGAGAGAAGCAATTTCAACAATAGAAAAGTGTATACACACTCACATACAGGCACACAAGAATTCTAAGGGAATGGATTCTAAAGAACTAAGTCTAACAAGGTCAAGAGGGGATAAGGAGGAAAGAAAATCTTATTCTTGTCAGGTTTTGAATTATAATGGCAAATCTTGACTTTCCAGGTAAATTTTTAGTAACACACTTTGTACTGGTACTGTATTATGATGAGAGATTGCCTTATAGTAGATCATTAAAGTTGTATATTCTTCTGAGCATATTGGAAGCAGACAATCCTGAGTTGTAGACACAGGATGAGTGCTCATCACAGCTGTAGGTTCTATACCCACGACTTTTCACAGGAATGGTCTTAATCAGAATAAACTGGAAGCAAATGCTATCAGCACAAACTTCCAGGATATGTATAATATAGTACCTCAGGGAAAACATCCCTAACACCACTTTAAGGATCTAGGTAGCGTATTGGACAACATACTTGAGGACTAAGAGGGGATCAGAAGCTTAGACAGTAGAGCAAGCCTCAGACCTTGGCTTTGGAAGAGGATGTCACTGGAGAGATTAAGCCATGAGCAGGTGAGCAGCCTTAAGAAGGGAAGTCTTCCTCTCAGAGGGCCTCATACAACATTTGCAGTAACTGTATAATTATAAGCATTTGAAAGTTATCTATGAATTGGAAACTTCACAAGGTAAGGAAAGGGATTCAGGGGCAATGGGAATTGGTCAAGCAGTTGGTGCAGGGTAAAGCTCTCATTAGGAGCATCATACTTAACAGTAAGAGCCAGCCCATTTTGAAGTGAAAGCAAAGCTACCAAATCTGAGTCCGGCCAGCAGATGGCAGACCATTGAACTCTGACTGGGTTTAGGAGAGTTTGGCAGATGTTAGCATGAACCAGAGCCTGTTAGTGAATAAAAGGTGATGGATTGCCTGTGGAAGATAAGGAAAGCAACAGAAGTGAGCCCACACTTCTGATGAGCAGATTTTAGAAGTATGACACTATGATTTTAATTTGCATTTCCCTGATTACTAGTAAAGCACCTTTCCATGTGTAAATTGGCCATTTAAACAACTTTCATGAACAACCTATTTAAACATTTTGCCCATTTTTTTAAGTAGGCTGACAAATGTTTTTTTACTAATGTCTCAGAATATGAACTTTTCCCAATACCATTTATTAAATAGTCTTTACCCAAATAGTCTTGCCTTTTCTATTCTTTTTTATTCATAGATTAATTTAATATACAGGCTTATTTCTGGGTTCTATATTCTGACCCATTGATCTATGTGTCTGTTTTTATGCCAATATCATGCTTTTTTTTATTTTATTACTATAGGATTATTGTAGTTTAATTTGGCATTGGGTAACATGATATCTTTGACTTTGTTCTTTATCAAGATTACTGTGACTATTGTTTTTTCTTTGTGGTCCCATATAAATTTCAGGATTATTTGTTCTAGTTCTGTGAAGAATGTCATTGGTATTTTGATAGGGATTACATCGAATCTATAGATGGTTTTGGGTAGTATGAACATCTTAATGCTGTTAATTTTTCCTCTCAATGAACATGGTATATGCTTCCATTTGTATCTTCTTCAATTTCTTTCCTCAATGTCCTATAATTTTCTGAGTACAGGTCTTTTATTTCCTTGGTTACATTTATTCCCAAGTATTTTATTTTTTAGATGCAATCATAAATGGGATTCTTTTAAACTTTCTCTGTTAGTTCATTATAGATATATAAAAAATGCAACTGATTTATGGATATTAATTTTATATCCACTGCTTTACTGAATTCATTTGTCAGTTCAAATAGTTTTGTTTTGGGTTTTTTTGGCAGAATCTTTAGGTTCTTTATATACAGTGTCATGTCAGCTGCAAATAATGGCAGTTTTACTTCTCCCTCTACAATTTGAATCTTTTACTTCTTTTTTCTTTATTGACTTTTTTACAGAGAGAAAGGGAGGATAGTTAGAAACATTGATGAGAGAGAAACATCAATCAGCTGCCTTCTGCACACACCCCACTGGGGATGTGCCCGCAACCAAGGTACATGCCCTTGACCGGAACCGAACCTGGGACCTTTCAGTCAGCAGGCCAATGCTCTATCCACTGAGCCAAACTGGTTTCCGCTACTTTTTTTTTTTTTGTCTAATTACTGTGGTTAGGACTTACAATAGTATATTAAGTAAAAGTGATCAAAGTGGCCATCCTTATCTTGTTCCTGATCTTAAAGAAAATACTTTCATCTTTTCCAAAGGAGTAACATGTTTGGAGTTTGGCCTTTATTATGTTAAGGTATGTTCCCTCTATTTCTACTTTGCTGAGATTTTAAAATCATAAATAGATGCTGAATTTTGTCAAATGCTTTTTCTGCATCTATTGATATGATTTTTATCCTTCACTTCATTTATATGGCATATCACTAATATTGAACTAACCTTGCATTCCAGAAGTAAATCCCCTTTGATCATGATGTATAATTTTTAAAAAATGTATTGCTGAGCCTTAGCTGGTTTGGCTCAGTGGTTAGAGCATAGACCTGTGGACCTAAGGATCCTAATTTTGATTCCAATCAAGGGCACATACCTCAGTTGCAGGCTTCTCCTTGGCCTGGGCCCTGGTCAGGGGCTCATGCAGGCATCAACCAATTCTCTATTTCTCTCACATTGATATTTCTGTTTTCCTCTTTCTCTAAAAATCAATGAAAAATATCCCCGGGTGAGGATTAAACAAAGAAAGAAAAATATATTGCTAAATTCAGTATACTAATATTTTGTTGAGGACTTTTTGCATTTATGTTCATCAGGGATATTGGCCTGTAATTTTTTTTTTTTTGGTAACATCTTTATCTGGCCGAGACCGGTTTGGCTTAGTGGATAGAGCATTGACCTACGGACTGAAAGGCCCCGGGTTAGATTCTGGTCAAGGGCATGTACCTTGGTTGCAGGCACATCCCCAGTGGGGAGTGTACAGGAGGCAGCTGATCCATGATTCTCTCTCATCGATGTTTCTAACTCTCTATCCCTCTCTCTTCTTCTCTGTAAAAAAAAAAAAAAAAAAAAAAAAAATCAATAAAATATATTAAAAACAAAAACAAAAAACATCTTTGTCTGGTTTTGAAATCAGGGTAATGATGACCTCATAATATAAGCTTTGAGCATTCTTTTTTATTTTTATTTTTTTAAATAGTTTAGAAGGATAGATGTTAATCTTTAAGTGTTCGGTAAAATTTATCTGTGAAGTCATTCAGTTCAGATCTTTTCCTTGTGGGAGATCTTTTATTCTGTTTCAGTGGTAGAATTTTCTTGGTTCAGTTGTGAATAAGTTATATTAGCCATTATAATTTTCTTTCCTGTTTTCTGTATAGTCTAGTCAGATTTTTATATCTAGGTTATGTAACCCTAATAAATGAATTGGAAGATAGTCCCCTTTTTCTATACTCTAAACTACTTTGTATAAAATTGTGATTATTTTCTCTTTGGATGTTTGATAGGCTGAAAATCATCTGTGTCTGGATTTTCTTAAGTTATTAATTCATTTACCAGTTATAGGTCAATTTTCTTTCCTTTTTTCTTTTTATGTAGCATTCAAACGATAGTTTTCCGAGAATTTGACCATTATACTGAAATTTTAAAATTCATTGGCATAAAATTGTTCATGTCATCTTTGCCGGCACCATCCATAAAATTCTGTCTACTGTCCCATTCTGATTTTGCTCATTCTTTTCATTTTCTTTTTTTTAATTATTATTAATCTTAGGAGAGTTTAATGAATTGTATCAACCTTTTCAAATACCTACATTTTGGTCATCAAGATCCATTATCCCTTCCCTTCCAAGTCCAGAGTCAGAAAAGGCTTTGGACATTAGGTCACCTCCAGCCTCCTGCTCTCAAGGCTAGGGAGAGGCAAGGTCCCTATGGCCCCTAAGGAGCCCCAAACCAGGAAGATGGGGGGATGGGTTCCTAAGCACCCCCTGCAGGTCCTTCCCTCAGCCTCCCGCCCAGAGGGCCCCAGGCAGCTGGAGGCGGGGGACTTCCGGGAGGGAGGAGGCGGGGGAGGCGGGTTGGCCCCAGCAGGGGTGATGGGACCTGGACTCCTCCGTGCGGCGGCCCGGGCTGCCGTGTGGGGCGCGGCCCGGGGCGGCGTGGGTCCAGCTCCAGCTCCAGCTCCAGCGCGCGCCCTGCGCGGCGGCCCGGGCCGGTGTGCGGGGCGCGTCCCCGGGCGGCAGGTGCCGGGCGCGGAGGCCCCGGCAGCGGCCCGGCGCGGGCGCGGCGCGTCCCCGGCTCGGCGGCCCCGTGCGCCCGGCGCTCCGGCAGAGGGAGCTGTGCGCCCGGCCCGGCGCACGCACGGCGCCGCCCGCTCCCTCTTGCCGCCGCCGCTGGGCCCGCCCGCCGGGGAGGGGCTCCGGCCTCGGCGACAGCTGCTTCCTGCTTGCCGCACGCCTTCGCCGCCGCGCCGTGGCCGCCGAGAGCTCCCCGCGTGCCGCCGCCCGCGCCCCGGCCTCGCCCCGCACAGCCCGGCTCGCCCGCGCCCGCTCCCGGAGCCCGCGCCCCACGCCGCCCCGCGCGCCCCGGCCATGCTGTCCTTCCAGTACCCCGACGTGTTCCGCGACGAGACCTCCGTGAGTGCCCGCTGCTGCCCGCGCCCATCGGCTTCCCCCGCCCAGCGCGCCGCGCCGGCCGCCGCCCGCGGCTCCGCGCCCCGCGCCCCCCGCGCCCCTCCCCTCCCCCTCGGCCTTTGTTCCCGAGAAACGGGGCCGGGGGCGCGGGCTCCTCCCCAGCCGCGGAGCCTCCGGGGGGTGGGCGCTCCCCGCTTGCTGGCGGCTCGCAGCCGGGGAAGGGCCCGCTGCTGGGAGGTTTCCTGAAATCAATGGGGAAATCGATGGGGTTAAGGGCAGATGCCCAGGTAGGAGGAGGGATCCCTGCTTTTGGAGCGGAGAAGCTCTTGGGTAAATGTAAATATGGTGGTAGGAGAAAGAGTGTGAGGGTATGGATGATGTAGGATTTAAAACACAAAGCAAACTTTTTGAACTTCCAAATGAAGAATTCGTAGAGTTGAAGTTCATTCATTCGGTTTTACAACGCGTCCTGAGCGCGCTTACTCTGCCCCAGGCCGGAGGGGCGTTGGGGACAGGACAGAGGGACGCGGAGTGGAGCAGGGCTGATCCAAGTTTTCCTAAACTAGAAAGGAGCTGAGAGGGAGGGAGGGAGAGGAGGACTTAGAAGGGAGAGGGGATGGCCTCTTTTTTTTTTTTCAGGATGAGCTTGAGTTTTGCTTCGTGGAGGGGTTAGCCACCATGAACCTCAGCTGTAGATGAACTCAGGGTGGCTGTTGAGATCAGGTGGGTGGAAATCACCCTTGATGTGCGGGGAAACGTTAATTTGGCACCTTAAGGACTATAGTGCGACCAATAGTTGTCGGCATGATTCTCTTAGGAAGAGCCAGGTTTCTCAGATTAGAAAATAGGGTCAGATTAAAACTTTTTTGAAAAATACAGTTGTGTTTTCTTCTGCTTTCTAGGGCCCAGTTTACGCCAGATTGTGCGTTAAAAGCACATCTCACTTTAGGTTTAAGGGTACTACGGCTTTAGCGTAAAGGATGTTGTTTTAAATGACAGCAAAATATGTGGCCTTTGCTCTTCCAAGTGGCACTGATGCACTCATGGTTCCTTTGACCAGTGGCCATCCGGTGACCATGTTTTCTCAGTCTGTTCTGCGGCTTGCTTATTACATTTGCTCCAAGAACCCCTATTCCTGTGGTTCAAAAGGTTGTTTCCATTGTGTTTGGGAGTGAAGTGATCCTGCTGGAGTGGGAAGAGGACAGACAGAGCGAGTGGGGAGACCCGGGGGCCTCCCCACTCACTAGCAGGATGCCCGGGGGCAGGTCATTCACCTGTTACAGGTCTTGTTTCTCCTAAGTGGGATATTTAGGGCTGGCTTGTTTCCACAGTAAAAATGTCTTTCATTCATTCACATGACAGTCTAGCCCTGCAGTGAGCTAGGCTTTCGTAATGGGACGACATGGGAATGAATATCTCTGTTCGGGTCTTGAGGATCTTTGAGGTTTCAGGATGGATAAAAATGTAAACAATTGTCCATTAGGTGGTTTGTTAAGTGCCCTTTCAGATTTGTACTGTTTTGTGCAGTGGGTTTTTTTTGGGGGGGTGGAGGAAGGTGGTTTCTCACTTTATTTTCCCTTATTTGTGTTACCAGAATCCTACGGTTTATTTATTTATGTTTAATAATACTTGAAAGGGTTAAGTGAGGGTTTCATGAAGACATCAAATAAATTATGAATAATTAAGTCAAAAGAGTATACATACTGCGCCATGGGTTTTAAATCTCTCCAGTTCCTTCTTCCCGAAGAACTAACTCATAACCCTAAGCCTCATGGACAAAGGGAAGGTGGCTGTGGTCCACAGTGTACTCATCCCAGCCCTGATAGTCTACATGGAGTATCTTTTCCCTGTGACAAGAGCCCTGATTACTAAGCTCTTGGCTGGACGTAGCATTTCCCCAAGGTATAGCCTTGACTTCTAGGATGGTTCTATTTCTGTCTGGCAGGGACTAGGGATTGCTGTAGCTCCCCGTCTCTCTCACCTGAACATCTTTCAGCCACATACTGGGCAGTGTCCTGCTGCCCTGTGGGGTTCGAGTGTACGGTCCTTTTTGGTGGATTTCTGCTCATGAGCAGAAGTGTGGAAACCATGACACTTCCTGGGTAATGCCGTTGCCCAATCCGTGGGACAGGCTTGGCACAGGCGTTAGAAGGGTGTGTAGAGTGAGTGGGGAACACAGGAGGATGGGGTTAATTTCTATCAGGAGCAGAAGATAATACGCGAGTTGAGCCTTGAAGTTGGCCAGTTGGATACGGCAGAAAGGACATGCCTAGCCTTGTGACTAAAATAAAGCCGTAGTTATGTGGGGCTGAATGGTCATGAAATGGCATGTTTGTAGGATGGCAGGGAAGGCCGCTGTGAACAGAGCATCCATGGACGGACACGCTTGGATGGGGTTTGAGAAATCAGAGCGGGACAGGTTTCATGGGCTCCGCCTGCTGTGTGTACAAGAGTCTACATTTTGTCCCGAAAGCTACAGGCACGTCGTTGAACCTTCAGAGTAAAATATTGAGTAGCAACAGTGGCCTGTCCAGGCTCTCGTTTTTGAGCTCTTGGGGGAGGTGAGGGATGATTGGCAAACTTAAATGAGGAATGAGAAGCTGCCTAGCTTGAATTCAGGGGCCGCGGCTGTGCGACCGCCCTATTGAGGATATGGTACGGTGAAAGAAATAGGGGGACGGGGCGCTTGGTCGCTTGGGGTTGCCGTTGGGTTGCCTTGGGGAGCTCTCATCCTGGTTGCTCATGTCCGCTCAGTAACTGACCTCAATCTGATTTGGATGAAAACCCTGGTTCTGAGCAGACGAGGCCGCGTCCTCGGTGGTCAGCGCCGCTCAGGAGGCAGCGTGCTGTAGGACACGTGGGCTCCGAGTCAGGGTCCAGCTGACCCGGCTCCTTGGCGAGAGGTTAAGGACACAGGCTTTGGGGTTGGCTTGGAGTGGGCCACAGCCCTACCTTAGGAGCCACCTGAGCTGTATCAATTGCTGCGGCTCTTTCCGGCTTCCCTTTCCTCACCCGGGGAAGGAGGGGGGATGTGTCCTCGTGGTGAGGACAGTCGAGGTGATTCGGTGGCTGTCATCTATGGCGCAGTGGTTAGCTCACGGGGGTCTCTGAGCAGACAGCACGTATGTGGCCTTTCCTCTTCCTAAGCTCTCCGAATAACATCCCATCATCTGTAAACGAGGAACATCTAAAACATGGGGCACAACAGGGTGGATATTCAGTTGTTTATTGCTTCAGGCTTAGCGCTTGGCAACGCCTTCCCTTAGTCATAAAACTATCACAGTCTCCAGTTAATCTTTTCCGCTTCCTTTTGTAAAGGTAAGTCTCTGGATGTGTCAGAGTCTTAGGAACACATTCCCGGCGGCTGGTCCGTCCCCTCTGAGGACTATGGGGGGGGGGGGGGGGGAGCTGTGGGCGGGTTGTTTTTAGTCCCAGCTCTGGTTCCGAATTCCCTGTGGTCCTGGGCGCGTAGCCCAACCTTATTCCTGCGGTGCCTCCCTCCTAAAGATGTGCAATTTGAAGATCCTTTACCCGGTTTCCTATTGTCAGGAAAAGGACGGTGGTGGTTTTAAGCATAATTCATAACCGCTTCAAGGTATGTAAAATGTAGAAGACTTGAGGATGGGAAGATGAGTAGCCTTCATTCGGTTGTGACAGCTGACGTGTAGAGGCCTTAGGTAGGGATTGAAAATGGGTGTGTGTGTTTTCCCCCCGAAGATTGGTCATTTTATGAAGACTCCCCAAGAGAGGTGTTAGCCTGGCTGTATGCCCCTTGCACTTGTTAGTCAAGGTTTGATGAGAGCAGGCCCTGGGTGTTCCACCTGAACCGCCCATCCTTCCGGGTGTCATTTCCCCAGGTGTGTGCTTACACACACACACACACACACACACACACACACACACACACACACACACTCTCTCTCTCTTCCCGGAGGAGGAGGACAGGTGCAGACCCTTTGCATCCTGACGGCCTGGGCTCCCCTGCTCAGGCAGGTTCTTCTCAGTTGGCAGCAGCCGCCCTGGAACTTGGACCAGAAGTAGCAACAGCAGATTTTTCTCTTCCAGGAGAGTGTCTGCATTCCTTAGGGCAGTGTTTCCCAAACTTCTCTCATGACGAGAATCACCTGGTGGAGTTGTTAAACTACGGATTCCTGAATCCCAACTAAGAAGTGCTAAACTAGAATTTTTGGGAACATATAGGTAAAACTGTATACTTAACTTAGTGCTCAGTTAAGTATACAATTTTACTTGTATGTTCCCAATTTTACCTGTATGTTCCCAATTTTACCTGTATGTTCCCAAAAATTCTAGTTTAGCACTTCTTAGTTGGGATTCAGGAATCCGTAGTTTAACAACTCCACCAGGTGATTCTCGTCATGAGAGAAGTTTGGGAAACACTGCCTTAGGGAATAGCCCCTACCGTCTGGATAGAAGGGAGCAATAAAACTGATGAAAAATTCATCTGAGATGGTGAGGGTCTTCCCTACAACCTTCTAGGAGAAGCCGTAACCGGAACGTTGGGGTTGTTCAGAGAGACTTGATCGGAAAGACGTCGTCAGTGGCCTCTCGGTTATCTGGATAAACCCGGGTGGTTAGTGGCGTCTCGGTTATCTGGATTAACCTGGGTGGTTTAACGTGGGAGGGATTGTAACGATTTTTGCCTTTGCAAACTGTCTTTAGGCATTATCACCTGAGGAGGCGTGACTCCAGGTGGCTGCTCCAGACTGGGACAGTCTCGGAGGCCAGGCCCAGGAATCCGGGCTTCCAGAAGCCCCCCCACCTCTGGTAGTTCTGAGGACCAGCCCCCAGGGGAGCTCCCAAAGGCTGCCCCTCAGCCAGGCCCTGCTCACACTCAGCAGTTTTATTTCTGTCAGCGTAGCTGTGCCTCCTTTTATAAACAGCGAAAGAAAGCATTTCATAGCAACACATACAAAAGGGAAGGAAGGCTTCAGTTTCGAAGTGCTCCTTCATTGCATGGGAGGCGGCGTTTTCAATTAGAATCGGCGGTGTCAATTAGAGTCCTTGTAACTACACATTAGTAAGTTTCTTCTGGGCTGGTTAGACAGCAAAGCAAACTGATCACATTAGGTATTGTAGGGAGGCTTTCTAATCGGGAGCACGCTTGGTGAGAACAGGGGAGTAAGCGCGTGGCCGTGCCCTCTGCCATCCCGGCTGCGCTGTGTCATTCTGTGCTGTGCCGTTCGGGTTTCCTCAGCCCGGCAGCAGGCCTTGGCTCGGTGTACAGACAGAGCTGCTGCCTCTCCTGACCTTTCCTCTGTCTTCCCTCTCCAGTAAAGCATTCCTTTCACGGAGGGCGGCCTGACACCTTTGAGAACCTGCCAACTCCAGTCCACGTGGCAGTGTGGGCACAGGCACCGCTGCCCGTGCGCCAATGGGGTGTTTGTGTCTGTCCCTTTCCTCTCTCTCCGTCACATTCGGAAAATACTAATTTCGTTGGGGTCAGACACTAATTACCCACTAACACATTTTGTCTTTTGCAGGTGCAGGATTATCATGGGCATAAGATTTCTGACCCTTACGCTTGGCTTGAAGACCCAGACAGCGAGCAGACAAAGGTAATCCGGGCTTACAATTGGTTTCGACAGCCTCAGTGGCTAGCGCCAAACTGTGCACGCCGGTAACCAGGGCTGTTCCCACCTGCACTTCCTGCTGTGGTATGGCGGATGGGTGAATATACTTGTAAGCACTACCACGTTGTGTCAGATGATTCATGAGGATAGTTGAAAGCACGTTTTAGCCCCAGAGAAGATCAAGTAACTGGTTTTGCATTATGTTTATGGTTTATAGTGACATTGATGAACCAACTATTTGAAATGAAAATATTAGAAAGAAAATTGACTAAAAAAAAAAACCTAGGGAAAAATACTGTGAAGAAAACAATTGCCTAATACATTTTTTTCCCCTAAAGAAAGAAAATCTTATAATTGAACAAGATTCAGGTCTTAAAAACTAAGTGCTGATATTAGATGACTTCCTGATTTTATTGCAACAACAAAAAATGAATGAAATGATAAGGAAAATAGTAAATCTCCTATTTTATAGATATAAGGGGTGGAGGAGAGGATTTTCTGCTCTGTCTAAAAACATAAAACTTACCCATTATTTTGGAGAAACACGTAGTATTTTGAGTTGAAGTCTCATTTCATTAAAAAGCTACCTCTAAGAGCTACAGCCCTCAGGTATTTTTTTCTTCCTTGAAGTGCCCAGGACTTGGCCCTTGGACTCCTCATTTACATATTCCGTGAGTGGTTAAGTTCTTCTGGGTGAGGGAAGAGTGTTTCTCAGTCTACTTCAAGTTCTTGGACTCTTGTTTATAACCGCATTTACATATACTTAATACATAAGAATATATTTACAGTTTCTAATAGGTTCACATTCCAGAAGTTTACTTGAGCTTCTTTAAAATCCCAGAATATTTACCATTGTTTCAACAACAATGAAAAATCTTAAATGCACTCTCAAGTTTTACAGACCAGCTTCCGAAAAGCCTTCGTCTCGGTACCCCCTGTATTGTGGCCCCTTGATGCCGTTTGTACCACTGTTCTCCGGAGAACTGAACTGACTTCCAAGGCCGTTCAGATTTGCCAGGAAAACACTCCCTCCTGATGTGACGGGGGAAGAGCTTGACGGGTTGAGGGGAAAGGAGTGGGGTTAGCTGGGCGAGATAATCTGTGGAAGAGACAACGTAGAGGCAGGAAGAGGTTGCTCCTGCTTGGGTAAATCCCACGTCATCGCTTCCTTTTTCCTTCATTCCCATGTGCGCTCTCACCTGCCTTCTTTTTGCCACCCTCACGTATTCCTCCTGGCATTTTTCTTCTCCTGGTACAAACGGTGGCAAGAGACCATAAGATACCAGAAACGACTGCAGCTTCTTCCCTATCCTTTAAGGACAAAAGACTTTGCAATGCTTTTTTTTTTTTTTTTTTTTGGAGCCTTTGCAATGGTTTTTACGTCTATCTACTAGAGGCAGCCCGTTTTACGAAGATTCGTGCAATAGGCTTTCCTTCCCCTGGCTGCCAGCACCGGCTTTCCTCCTGCACCCGGGACCCAGGCCTTCACTCCGGCCGCAGTGAAGAAGCCAAACCTTGAGGCTTCTCCGCTCCTGTCACAGCAAGAATTGGATTATCTGCTCCAATCGCAGTGGAGAATCCAAGCCTCTTCAGTCGTCTTCAGCTGGAACCTTCAGTCTTTGCTCCTCACCTGCATATGCATATTAACTCTCCATCTTTGTTGGGTTAATTTGCATACTCCTGATTGGCTGGTGGGTGTTATGGTGGTATGGTCAATTTGCATATTTCTCTTTTATTAGTGTAGATAATCCTCTCCCTTTCTGGGTGAGAATAGTATTTGAACTTTTCCCTTTTTCTTTCATGAAACACTGGGTTATAGAGCTGGGTGGGTAGAGATTTCCAGATGAGAAACAGATGGGTATCTTGAGTAGCAGGCGAAGGCTCTACCTTGGCAGGAAAGGCTAGGAGGAGCAGGGAGGAGCTGTGGGGCTGCCTCCTCACCTGGAACCTGCCACAGGCTGCCTTGATGGCCCAGCATTGGGCCAAGCTGGGACGGGATGAGCCTGGGAATGGAGGATCACAGGCAGCGGCAGAACCGGTGATGGATGGAGGGCACTCACAAAGGGAGCGAACCTCCTGTGCGTCTCCAGGAAAGCCTTCCCCAAGGACTGTCTCTGTGATGAGGTCTCAAGTACAACCTGGACTTCTTCAGTCTTTGATGGTGATGAAGTCATTCAGCAATGTCAGAATAGCCCAGTTTTGGTTTATATGTTAATGAACACACACTTTGCTATTCCTTAATTAATAATGGCTGGTCCTGTGGTCAACAAGGCACTTATTAGTAGATGAGACCTGGGTAATTAGTGATTTTACAGTCAACCTTTGATGGAACTAATGAGTAAACACTGTTATTTTCAAGGTGTATGTTTATCGGATGCTTACTGAGTGCCAGGTAGTTCACTGGTAGTTTTGCCTGCTCTATCTCATTTCATTCTCAAACTCTTAAAATAGATCTTTTTATTTTCCCCATCTTACAAATGTAGAAGTTGAGTTACTGAGTGATACGGCCAAGATCGGTCCGCTAGTAAGTGTAGAACTGGTATTGGAACAGGTAGGCCAGGTTGTCTTCAGCTTTAGATTTAAGAGGAGGACTTGGGGTGTAACAGCTTTGGGAATGCAGGGGGAGGCAACATATTCATGCCCTGGGACGTGATAGGTCCTCCTGTGTGGGCTCACCTGCCCACACTTGCCAGCCTGTTCCGGCTGCGAATCTCAGGTGTCAGAGGGCCGTGCAAGCTCATCTTTTCCTCGGTATCCTCCACGCACGCCTTTCTCACTTCTCTGTGAACAGGCTTGTTATTCACAAAAGCTAGGATGCCATCTGGGATCTGATGAGTTGAGTTTGGGTCTCAGACTGAAAAGGTAGGGTATGTTTTTCAAATGAGCAGAAGAGCAGCACGGACATTTTCTACTCATGGTTATTTGCGTGTACAGAAAAAAAAGTGCATTAGCCATATGCCTTCCGGTAAAGAGGAGAATCTTCACGTTGCTTCCAAAATAAAGAAAAGGCTACTTGTATTTATACGCTAGCCCTTTACCCTAAGATCTGAAATGCTATCAGTAGTTCTTTGATTTAGTCCATGGTTAATACAGGTTATCCAGTTCTGACAGTGCCTGGCATGTAAGGCTTTCTCCTCCGGAAAGGAATACCAGAGCAGACTTGTAACTTAGAGCATTCTCTAAAGCGAGGGTGGGCGAGTTGAATCTGGATGAGTCCTAGCCAGCTCCCAAAGCCCAGAGAAGCGTATTTTATAGCAAACGTTCCAGGTTGTGGACGATCCTACACAGCTTAATTGATTCTTTGGAGTCAATCCTACCTTGATATGAAAGCTTATCAGAGATGCTTTGCAAAGAGGAAAGAGTAGGCCCATGCTGCTCAGTAGATATGTGACGCCAGCCACATATAATTACAATTTTTCTTGTAGCCACATTTTAAAAAGTAACAAGAAACAGCCGAAACCGGTTTGGCTCAGTGGATAGAGCGCCAGCCTGCGGACTGAAAGGTCCCGGGTTCGATTCTGGTCAAGGGCACGTACCTTGGTTGCGGGCACATCCCCAGTGGGGAGGGTGTAAGAGGCAGCTGGTCAGTGTTTCTCTCTCATCGACGATTTCTAACTCTCTATCCCTCTCAATTCCTCTCTGTGTAAAATTAATAAAATATATTTTTTTAAAAGTAACAAGAAACAGGTGCAAATAATTGTAATATACTTATTTAGCTTAGTGCAGCTGGTCCTTGAACATTAGTTGCGCTGACCCCCGAGCAGTTCAGAATCTATGAATAATTTTGGGGACTGGATATAGGATATAGGGCCCCCTACCCTCCCAAACTGCAGATTCCAAACTATGGGTTGAAAATACTGTTTTCAGTCCTCGGTTGGTTGAATCTGATGAGAATGCAAAACCCATGATACAGAAGGTGACTATATATTTATTGAAAAAAATTCACGTAGAAATGGACCCATGCAGTTCAAATTTGTGTTGTTGAAGGGTCAGCTGCATACTCGGAATATTAACATCTTAACATGTAGTTAATGTAAAGTACTAAGATATTTTACATTCCCTTTTTCAAACTAAATTTTTAAATCCGGTGTATGTTTTACACTCATACCACCTATCAACTCAGACCAGCCACAGGTGCTCAAGTAGCTACATGTGGCTAAAAAGAAATTAAAAAAAAAAAAAAAAAAAAAATATATATATATATATATATATATATATATATATATATATAAAATTGATTTTTTACAGAGAGGAAGGGAGAAGGATAGTCAGAAACATCGATGAGAGAGAAACTTCGATCAGCTGCCTCCTGCACACCCCCCACTGGGGATGTGCCCGCAACCAAGGCACATGCCCTTGACAGGTATCAAACCTGGGACCTTTCAGTCTGCAGGCCGATGCTCTATCCAACAAGCCAAACCGGTTTTGGCTAAATAGAAATTTTAAAAAGAAATTAAAGAAAATCTAAAAGTCTAACTTGGAATAATAGTGGTTTAACAAGATGACATCTCAATCAAAACAACAACCTAAACTATCTCTGTCACCACTATTTTTATGTTTGCAAAGCTCTGACCAGTGCAATAAAAAATGAGCCAAAATATGGATAACAAAAATAAAGTTATCATTCATTGTAGATTATGTAATTGTGTACCTAGGCAACCCAATTTTAATTTCCAACTTAAAATTTAGTAGAATTAATTAGTTCAATAGCATGAATATGTACAAAGTAAATATAATGTCAGTATCACTTATATATCACTGTCAATAATGTATCACTGTCAATAATGAAAAATTAGACCTGTCTGATAGCAATAGCAAAAAGCAAATACTAGGGAATGAAGAAGTGATTTCAAGTCTACTGGTAAGAGTACTGTCATGTCTACTCTATGGAGGTCGAGCAAAGGGCCAGTTGGGGGCATTATTTATAGTGAAACATTGGAAATGATGTCCATTTCCAGCAATAGTGTAGTGTTTGAGCAGAAGAT